ATCGTGTGGCAATCATTAAGGCATGTTCTTTGGAGAAGGCCATTGATGCTTGTGCATGGAAGCTTACTGCATTCCAGCGCTTAGATTTCACTTGTGATGACGTTCTAGATTACCTCAAGAAGGACAACTTTATTGGTAAAGGAGGTGCGGATATAATCTACAACGGACTTATGCCTAATGGTGAACAAGTTGATGTGAACAGGTTTCCAGCCATGAGCCATGGATTCACATGATCACGGGTTCAATGCAGAATTACAGACTCTTGGGAGGATCTAGCACAGACACATTGTCAAATTATTAGATTTCTGTTCAAACTATGAGACAAATCCTTTGGTTTATGAGTACATGCCAAATGGGATTTAACTGAAATGATCCATGGCAAGAAAGGTGGGCATTCACATTAGGACACAAGGTACAAGATAGCTATGAAGGCTGCAAAGGGACTGATTATCTCCATCACGACTGCTCCCCTTTGACCCTTCATCGTGACGTGAAATCAAACAACAATTTTCTCGACTCAAACTATAAAGCTCATGTTGCTGATTTCGGACTTGCCAAGTTCATGCAAGATTCTGGAACATCCGAGTGCATGTCTGCCATTAGGAAGCAATGTACGGAACTTTTAAACTACAAAGACACAAATATCTTCATATTTAATGATGATTCCAAGTAACTTTATATGGGTGACAAAAATCGTTATACATTTTAAGTCTCGCTTTTTAAATCAAGTGAATGTTGGCCAAGTATCTATACTATATACAAAAGTAAAAGAATTCAAGAAAGAAAAAAAAGAAAAAAAAGTGTTTTCCAGTCCAGTTATCCACTGTTGATAAGCTTTGGAATATTTCATCAACGGCCTTCATCAAGCCTTAGAAATTGGAATCCACCGCATTAATTTTGTCAGCCGCCCACTTTGGTAACAAAAGTAAAGGTACTTTGGTAAATGTACTCCGTATTTAATATGGATTACTCCAAATTTGTTTGTACGAGGCCCTTTCGTTTCTTAAAATGTTTTTTCTTTATTATTTTTGTTTTCTTGAAAATACAAACATTTTCTATTAAAAAACCATTTTTTATATATCATATCAACAACAAAATTGGAGAGTCAACTACAAATATACACTCTTTATTTTTCCTAAAAGCCAAAATAAGAATCTTATTTTTGAACGGAGGGCGTACTATATAGAGCATGTTTTATAAATCTGAAACTAAGAAAATAAAAAAGAAATATTTGCACTAAATAACACTAAAACTTAAGTCATTTCTCTAAATAGTAGTTAAATTTTTTTATGCCCTAAATAACACTTAATAATGTATAGAAGGACGAATAATGTCCAGTGATGGTTACTTGAATAATGACTAATCGATACTGACTAAAAGTGCTACATTAAAAAAAACATTATGTTTAGTGCTATTTAAGTAAATTCACCAATAAAAATGGAACAATATTTAAAAATTTTGTAATTAATAAGAATTTGGTGTTAAAATAAATCTCAATATTGGAGTTAAAAATAGAGGACTCAAAATCATTTGTAATCCATAATCTCATTAAAGTTAGTTTAGTTGTAAATTATTAATGGAATTAACTTTAATTTAACTATAGTTTCATTGCACTAAGATGAAATTGGAATTTAAATACTTTTACTTTTAATTAAAGTCTCCTTTATACACCTACTGATTATAAATGTGTCTCTCTCATCTTATCTATTTAATACCCGTAGTAATTTACTAATTGCATTGTCATACCCTACATTAAAGTAAAGGAGAAAAACCAAAGTAAGACTAAAATATTTAAAATATACAAAAATAGGACTTACATTACTAAACATATTCATGTACATTACAAAAAAAGTATGGTAATCTACACTGTACATTAACACATTACTACAGTGCAAAGTACTATTTTGAGAAAAAAACATGAAAGTCCAGTTTTGATACTTGTGTCTATATTTTAGTCCTATTTAGGATGATTTCTATTAAAGTAACACAAAATTGAAAAGTGACTCTAAATTATACATTCCTTAAATCATATCTTTTTGAGTTCTTCTATGGTGCACCTTAGGTGCATACCATTTTTTTGGACCTTTTCATATAAAATGTTGGGAAAAATATCATAGATTTTGATGATGATGTATTTAGAATGTAATAGGGACTTTAGGTCTCCCCCAATATTCAAGGTAATTTTTCTTTTTAGAAATATTGTTAAAACCAATTTCTTGAGATTTCCAATAAAGTTGTGATATTTCTTTAAGCGTTTTGATGCCTGAAGACCTAATCAAATTCAGTGATATGGAAATTGGATATCTTGATCGGAAATGCCAGAGACAAGTAAGGATTTCTCAAGCAGATGAAAATCCTCTGATCCGGAAGACTACATAAGAACCGGATGTCTCGCTACAACCCGCTGAAGGCTAAGTCATCCAAATCGGAAGACTAGCGCGGATCTCTTTCTCACCCGGAAGTCTGAGAATGACTCCTCCGGATTTGTCAGCTAAGAACCGGATGCCTTAGGGAAGACCGAAATTCTCAAAAAGCGGACAAGTGAGAAAAGACTTA